CTCCTCCTTCTCATCCTTCCCCTGCTTCTCTCTTCCTCCTCCTCCTCCGGTCCCCATCCCTCCTGGTGAACCGTCTCCTTTGTTTTCTCTTTACTTCTCTCTCTCTCTCGTCCCTTGTTCCTCCTTCCTCGTCCTCTTCCTTCTATTCCTCCTCGTCCCTCATCCTGCTGTCCTCATTCCTCCGCATCCGCCTCGTCATGTTATTTATCATCTTACAGTGTTCATCCTGCCGCACCCATCCTCGCGGAGGGAGGTGATGGGGGCAACCCGCACGATTGAGCCTCAGAGCTCTCTTGGAGCGAGATGGTTTTTTGCGCCAGGGGTCTCAGAAACGACCCCACGAGCCCGAAATTGCGGTCAACAAAAGCCCGGATTGAAGTGAACACGGCGTGGGAATTCGGGGTCCTCTTCCCGAAACTCCCGCGCCACGCCCCTAGTCTATTTTGTTGATCGTCCCATGGCCCAAGTCGGGCCTGCTTGGGGGTGGGTCGTGGAGGAAAATCAAGCGCTCTTGATGTTTTGCATTGGCTTCGGATCTCAGGCCTCCTCCTCATCATCATCCTTCCTGCGCTCCCCCATGCACTCCTCATCGTCGCCGCCGTCCTCCTCCTCCTCCTCCACACAATCCTCCACGCACGCCTCCTCCTCCTCCTCCTCCTCCTTCTCCTCCTCCTCCTCCTCCTCTTCCTCCTCCTCCTCCCCCTCCTCCACAACATCCTCCGTACACTCCTCCTCCTTCTCCCGCTCATCGTCCGCGTCAGGCTCCCCCTCGTGATGCGTCTCCTCCCCCCTCCTTCTTCCTCGCCCTCCGCCGTCGGCCCCCCCTTCTGAATTTCCATACTCCGGAGCGTCCGAGTGGCTTGGCATCGCTCGCACGTGTGCATTTTTTCTCGGCGAGAACCATCGAGGACCATCGAACAAAAGAACAACGCGCGCGAAGCCGAAGCGTGCACGGGAAATGGCCGCCCGAGCGACGGCAAGGTGGGTGGCTGCTCTGGACAGAAGTGGAGCTTCCCCCCGCGGAGCTCCAGCGCGTGCTGGGCCCCGAGGCCTCCGCCGCGCGGCCGGCAGGCAACGGGCTCGAGCAGGGGCGGCGGCTGGCGGGTCCCAGAGGTCCGGCGCTCCAGACATCGAGTGGAGGATCGGCTACAGAATTGCTTTGCACCTAGATTGTGGTTTTGTCTTCGAACTCACGAAACATATGTAGAATGTCACCACCCACCAAACCACCCCAACCCAACCCGAAGGTCTCGATTTGCCCTCCATTTTCAGTTGGGAGGGGTCGGGGAACATCGAGAAAACACATATGGAACCCGTACCCCCCCAACCCGAAATTCGGGTCTTCGGGTTGGGTTGGGGTGGTCTGGTAGGTAGTCAGAATGTCTGCCGATATACGGATTAGTCGACGTAATTGTTGTTCGTAGAGTCGACGGAGAAATCCATCTTGGGGTGAAGCAGTTCTGTAGCCGATCCCCTTCCCAGAAACAACCAGTGGAACGGCGGGATTTTGGCAGGAATGTCCCTCGCCGGGCTTCGGGAGCGCCAAACCAAAACCATGCATCAGGGCGAAGAGCCGGCCCCAGGGAAGTGGTCCAGACCTCCCGGGTCCCACGCATCAAAGAATTTGGAGCGGCTGGATGTCTGGGGTGGGCACGTGCCCTTGTGGCCCAGGCTCCCGTTAGCTTTTTCCGCCCTCGTGCAAGCAAGCTGCGGTGCTCCACAGGGGAGCTCACACAGCTCGCGGTTTCGGTGAAGTCGCAGGCATAGATCGCCACGATCCTCCTGCGCCTCGTCCTCCCCCCCACCCCGCCGCCGTCCCCTCGCGTCCGCGGAGGCGTCCGGTGCACCCACCAGCCGTCGCCCTGGATCGGGGACTACGGGTGGTTCCTGCTGCGGCCCTTCTTGGGCGCTTCGCCGCCGCCCCGCCCTGCCGTGCGCGGGCGGAGAGGGGCCTGGGGCCTTGTTGTGCATCGTGGGGAGGCTGCGGAGGGCACCTCTTCCCCCGTGCTGGGGGAAGCGGTGCCCTGTGGCTCTGATGCTCGTTTGGGGGATGTGCTCACAATGCCGACGATGTTCCCCAAACAGTGTTTGCACTTGGGGGGTTCGGTCTGGCGGCTATGTCGTCGCCGCCCGTCTTCTGGGCGTGCGGGTCGGTCAGGCGGCTATGTCGCCGCCCCGCCGCCGCCTCGTCGCTGCCCGTCGTCTGGACCTGACCGCCGGTCAGGCGGCTATGTTGTTGCCGTCGCCGCCCTGTCCCGTCGCTGCCGCCCCGTTGTGCCCTTTTTTCCTCCGTCCCAGTCTACGCAATCGATCGCGCCACATAGATTGCACACAAAGTATAAGAGTGCACAACATTCATGTCCTTTCGCAAGGAACATCAGGACCTACCTTCCCCCAGAGTTCACGCCCCACTTCTTCGCATTGCAATGTTCTCTTGATGCTGCCTCGCCGCCCATCCCAAATATGGACTCGTACCATCCCAGGCAAACGCTTACCCCCTGTCACCCAGCGCAAGGAATACTACGCGCGCCGATCTTCAAACAAATGCATGTCCGATAATCTCTTGCAACACATATGACTGCGATGACACGCGCGCGTCGTCGCGCGCGCATGCCGAAATCCTTCGAACTCCTCTTATGGTTCGGACAAGTTTGAAGAGCGAGCGTTCCGAAAACATATCGCATCAGTTGTTTTTCATACAACATGTTCAATCAACGAGCGCTCGCGCCCTTGCGGCTTTCTTGAGAACGCCATCGGTATTCAACGTTTTCATCACAGTGCTACCCAACGTGCTTCTCGTGCGCGCATATCGACATCGTTCGAATGCGCGTGCTCGGGGGCACGATCCTTGTCAAATCGTACCATACGGGCCACCCGCGCGCGTCAGCCGCGCGCGCGCACGTCGAACTCCATATCGCAATCTTCATCGCCGACGCGAGGATACCATCATCTCGGTCGGCGTGATGAGCATCGGCGCCATCAGTGGCCTTACCGTCGTCATTGCCATCATCGTCTCCAGCGTCGCTGCAAACATCTTCGCGTCTTCCTCTGTCGACACCGCCACGACACCTCACGCGCCCGAGTCACAGATTTGAGCTGCAGTGCCCGCGCGTCAGCTCGGCCTGGAAGACGTGTTGGGAAGTCCCCAGCGATCACCGCCATCGCGGCTGCGGTCGCGTCGCACTAGCTGGCCGCCTCGCGCGTCACCATGCGCCCCAGCGCGGCCGTGGCGATGTGCCTGGCTGACGCCGAGCAGACGCCGCAGTCGCCGCCGCATGGGTTTTGCAAGCCAAGTTGCGGGCGGGCGCGCGGAATGATTGCCCGAGCAGTGGGGCTCGCAACTGCAAGGCCGGCAGGGTGACATGCGCCACGTAGATCTTCTTTTGTTGCTCGATTGATCTACCGCCCTCCAGGATTATCCGCCTGCCTTTTTGCAGGCAGTTTACATGCGATGTTGCCCCATCGCCCCGCCCATCCATTGAAGAGCCCGCGCCAGCAGCGGCGCCCCCCGCCACCCCATGCAACAATAATAATGTGCGCGCGCTGCTGCAGCACAAACCATTGTATTATATATATGTGTTTATATAATACACGCGCGTGTCGTCGCGCGCGCACGCCAGAGTCCTTCAAAACAGTGCGGTTTCCGCAAGGGGTTCAAAAGCCGAGTGTCTCGACCACGCGCTGCAACGCATCAACTTCGACCCGGGGGGCTTTTCGCGCGCGCATGCCGACGTCGTTCGAACGCCCTTGCGCGCGCGCTGGGAGGGCGCGATCCCATTCGCACAGCGCCACGCGGGCCACTCGCGCGGGTTGGCCGCGCGCGTGTCGAAATCCGCCCAAAAACTTCATCACCGACGGGGGGGCGCTGTCATTGTCAGCGCCAGCGCCGACATTTGCTTTGCTGTCGTCATCGCCATCATCGTCACCATCGTCGGTGCTACCATCATCACGTCCACCTTTGTGGACGTCGGCGCGATGCCGCGCCCGCCCGAATTACCGGCTCGCGCTGAAGTGCCGGCGCGACAGCGCGGCCTTGTGAGAGATGCTGGGGAAGTGCCGCGCGGTCAGTGCCACCGCGGTCGCTTCGGTCGCGTCGAACTGGCCGGCCGCTGCGCGCGCGGGCGCGCGCGGGCTGACGGGGGCCGCGAGGATGCGCGAGCCAGGGCCGGACAGATTTCGCAATTGCCGCCGCGCGAGTTTTCCAGACCAAGTTGCGGGCTGGCGGGCGGGGCGAGTGCGCGCGAAGTGGAATGGGCAACTCCAGATTTTCAAAATTGATTTTCTCGTGCACAACATTGGCTCACGTTCTCCCCCCCCGCCCCCCCAGGGGGTTGACGGGTCACCTTGCCGCGCTGCACTTTACGCATGATTCTGCCCCATCGCCCATCCTAGATTTGAACTCATATCGCCCCAGCCAGGCCGGCGTCGGCCCCCCCTGCGTCCTGTGCGAAACAATGCGCGCGCATTCGTTTATCAACAATCAATAGTCGTCAGGAACCGCGCGCGCGTCGCCGCGCGCGCTCCGAAATCTGCCCACAACCTCAGCTTTCGCCAGCTTTTCAAAGTCGAGAGTCTCGACGCACATCCAAACGCATGGTCGCGCAACGAGGGTTTTCAAACAGAGGATACCTGCGCCCGCGCCCTTGCGAAGTCTGTTAAGCGGAAACCATTGTTCTTTTCAACGTTTTCCTAATGCGTTACCAACGGCGGCTCTCGCGCGCGCGCTGCTGCTGAGACCGTTCGACCGCCCCTGCGCGCGTGCTGCTGCAAGAACCCCTTGCAAAACATAGGGCGAAGCGCACGCGCGCGCGCTGTCGCGCGCGCGGGCCGAAATCCGTCAACAACCGTTTTTGTCGCAAGGATTTCAAATGCGAGCGCCCCTGCAAAACATCGTTGTTCAACATCTTTTGTCGAAAGAATCCTGCGCTCGCTGTCGCGCGGAATTCGAAAACAACCGTCGGTTTTCGAATGTGTTCATTAATTTATGCCATGCCTGCGCTCCGCGCCGCGCGTCGAACGCGCGCGAACGCCCTGGCGCGCGCGTTTTGGGGGGAGGGCGCGATCCGCGTCGAATTATGCCGCGCGGGCCACTCGCGCGCGTCGGCCGCGCGCGCCCGCCGAGCTCTCTCCGAAACCCTGATCGCCGACGCGAGGACATCGTCATCGTTATCGGCCGGCGTGATCAACGTCGGCGCCGTCACTGGCCTTGCCGTCGGCATTGCCGCCATCGTCGCCGCCTTCGCAACCCTCATCATCGCGTCTGCCGTTGTCGGCGTCGCCTTGCTATTGTGACCGTCCAAGTCGCCAACTCGCACTGAAGTGCCCGCTGGGAAGTGCCCGGCGGTCAGCGCCACCGCTGCCGCGTCGGTCGCGCCAAACTATTTGGCCGCTGCGCGCGCGAGCCTGCGCAGGCTTGCGCGGCCGCAGAGATGCACCAGCCAGCGCCGCGCGCTCGTCGCAATCGCAGCCGCATGGGTTTAACTCATCAAGTCGCGGGCGGGTGGGCGGGGTGTTTGCAAGGGTGTGGAATTCGTCAACTCTCTTAAACAATGATTTGCTCCGCGTCGATCGCGCCGCGTTGCTCGCGCAACGTGGATCGCTCAACATGAGTTGCGCCGCGCATTTTGCACGAATTCGATTGCGCCCTTTATGTTGCAGTGCGTAGGCTGCACAACGTAGGTCTTAGGAGAACGTTAGGTTCTGCGCCCCCCCCCCCCCCCCCAGGGTGAACGGGCCACCTTTTTGCATTGCAATGTACATCTGATTCTGCCCCATCGCCCATCCTGAATATGAGATTACACCATCCCGGGAAGGCTGGCATCGTCTCCGACCCCCCGTCCGTTGCCAGAAAGAGTATGCGCGCAAATTCTTTTACAACAAATCAGCAGCATTTAAGAATGCATCGCAAAAAACGGGATGCAGTGCACGCGCGCGCGCGCGTCGCCGCGCGCGCGTGCCGAGCTGAATCCATAACCTTAGGTTCCGTGAGGATATCAAGGAAACGACAGTCGCGAAAACGTGAGCAAGCAACGTGGCTTCGCAATGCGGGCCCTCGCAAAAAGCTTGCGCCTTCGCTTTTTGCGAATGCTTGAGAACACCATTTTTCCAACGTGTATATAATATGGGACGGGGCCTCTCGCGCGTGCGAATGTCGAAACCGTTCGAACGTCCTCGCGCGAGTGCTGCCGCAAGGATCCGCCGCGACAAATTGGGCGAAGCGCGCGCGCGTCGTCGCGAGCGCGCGCCGGAATCCTTCGACAACCATCGGTTTTGCAAGGGTTTCAAGAGCGAGCGCTTCGCACAGGCATCCACACACATTGTTTTTCAACGTCATTTGTCGAGAATCACGCGCTCGCGGTCGCGAGGATTTTTTCAGAACGCCGGTGGTTTTTCAGCGTGCTCATCACATTCTGCCAAACGGCCCCCTCGCGCCGGACGCCGAACTCATTCGAGCGCACTTGCTCGCGTGCCGGGGGGGGGGGGGGGGCGAGGCCCGCGTCGAATGATTCCGCGCGGGCCACTCGCGCGCGTCAGCCGCGCGCGCGCGTCGAACTCCCTCAAAGACCTTGATCGCCGACGCGAGGGCATCGCCATCGATATTCGCGGGCGCGATCAACGTCAGCGCCGCCATTGGCCGCGCCGTCGTCATCGCCGCCATCGCCACCATCGTCGCCACTCTCATCGTCGCGTCTATCGCTGTCGGCGTCGCCTCGCTACCGCCCCCGTCCAAGTCACCGACTGGCGCTGAAGTGCCCGCTGGGAAGTGCCCGGCGGTCTGCGCCGCCGCGGCCGCGTTGGTCGCGCCAAACTATTTGGCCGCTGCGCGCGCGAGCCTGCGCGGGCATGCGCGTCCGCAGAGATGCGCCAGCCAACGCCGCGCGCGCGTCGCAATCGCTGCCGCGCGGGCTGGGTTTTGCAGAGCAAGTTGCGGGCGCGCGGGCGGGTTGTTTGCAGGGGCGTGGAACCTGTCCATTCATCTGTCAAGCTCATACCTTTAAAAAAGAAGAAAGAAATAGAGTCGCCCCCCCCATCCCCGGGATTATCGTCGCTCCTTTTCGTCCTGCACGTTGCATGCGATTGCGCCCCCTCGCCCATCCTGAACATGGGTCCATGCCGCCCCAGTCAGGCCGGCATCGAGCCCCCCCGTCATCCTCCGGAAAAGAAACACGCGCGCACACGCTCATGACACTTCACCAGTTTACAAGAACCCCACGCGTCGTCGCGCGCGCGTGTCGCCACGCTTCGAAAACTTTCGGTGTCGCGAGGATCCCATAATCGATTGTCGCAAAAACATTACAACACCGGGTGCCGCAACAGGGATGATCAGAAAAAGCTCGCGCTCGCTCCCTTGCGAATTCTCAAGAACACCATGGGTTTTCCTCGACACTTTCACATAATGTCACCAAATGGGTTTCTCGCGCACGCATATCGAAATCGCCCGGACGCCCTTGAGCGCGCGTTGTCGCAAGAATCCTACGCAAACGCGCGACGAAGTGCACGTGCGCGTGCCGTCGCGCGCGCGTGCCAAACTTTGTCAAAAACTGTAGGTTCTGCATGGATGTGAAGACCGAGTGTCGCGAAGCCATGCGAAACATTGGTTTCGCAACATCCACGTTCAAGAAAGCCTGCGCTCGCGCTCATTCGCATCCGCAACGAAACCGTCGGTTCTCTACATCATGTGCGCCGGATTCTGCCGCGCTGGCTTCGGGCGTCGCACGCCGAAAGCATTCGCGCGCCCTTGCGCGCGCGCTGGGGGGGCGGGGGGTGGGGCGCGATCCGTGCCGCGTCAGACCGCGCGGGCCACTCGCGCGCGTCGGCCGCGCGCGCGTGTCGAACTCTCGCCAGAGCCATCGCCGACGCGAGGGCGCCATCATCGTCGTCGGCGCCATCAGCTTCGGCGCCGTCGCTGGCCGCGCCGTCGTCGTCATCAACATCGTCACCAGCGTCGCTGCTGTCATCCTCGCGTCTGGCGCTGTCGGCGTCGCCATGATACCGCATTCGCGCTGGTTGCGCCAGACTATTTGGCCGCTGCGCGCGCGAGCGCGCGAGGGCTAGCGCGGCCGCAGAGATGCACTTGCCAACGCCAAGCACGCATCGCAATCGCTGCCGCGTGGGTTTTGCAAACCAACTTGCGAGTGGGCGTGGGGGGGGGGATTGCGTGAGCACTGGGGTTGGTAATTTCAGGTTCGGCAGGGTGAATCCCTTTTCTTAGCAAATTATTGAATCTTCCCCCGTCCCCATCCCCTACGATTATCGGTTCCCTTCGCCGTGCCGCAATTTACATATGATTCCGCCCGATCATCCATCCTAGATTTGAGCCCGTACCATCCCAGCCGAGCTGGCACCGGCCCACTCCACCATTTTTTATATCAATTACGATGTGTTCGCACCCGTCCATAATAATTCATGAGTTTTAAAGAGTTCCATTGTATTTTAAGAAAACGGAGTGAACGCGCGTGCGTCGTTGCGCGCGCATGCCGGAGTCATCTAAGGAACGCAGATTTCGTAGGAATTGCATGATCCAGTATCCAAAAACATATAAGTAACCGGATTTTGCAGCATAGGTTTTAATAAAGAACCCAACAGCTTTTGTGAATCTTTAACGAGACCCATCGATTTTTCATCATGTTAATGAAATGCAACCAAACGTGGCTTCCCGCGCGCGCAAGTCGAAATCGTTCGAGCGCCCTTTGCGCGCGTGCCGTCGCGAGAACTTTTTGTTTCTTGGCAGAGATAAGACGGAGTGCGCGCGCGAGTCGCCGCGCGCTCTTCGAAATCCGTCCAAAACGTAAGGTTTCGTAGAGATTTCAAAATCGGGTGTCCAAAAAACATACTTAAACACATAATTTCGCAACATCAGTTCTCATTCAAAAAAGCGTGCGGTCGAGCTCTGCCAAACAGACCTTTGGCGTCGCATGCCGAAATCATTCGCACGCCCTTGCGCTCGTGCTTGGGGGGGTGGTGGGCACGATCCGTGTCAAAGACTATGCGGGCCACTCTCGCGCGTCGGCCGCGCTCGACGAGAGGACGCCGTCATCGTCGTCGGCGTGATCAGCATCGGCGCCCGTTTTGGCCGCGCCTTCGTCGTTGTCAACACCGTCGTCGTCATCGTTATTTTCATCATCGTGTCTATCGTCGTCGACGTTGCCATGATACCGCGCCCCCCAAGTCGCCGACTCGCAATGAAGCGCCCGCTGGGATGTGCCCAGCGGGCAACGCCACCGCGGCCGCGACGGTCGCGCCAAATTAGTTGGCCGCTGCGCGCGCGTGCTTGGGCTGGCGCGGCCGCGCAGATGCACCAGCCAACGCCAAGCACCCATCGCATTTGCCAAAACATACGTTTTGCAAACCAGGTTGCGGTTGGGTGGGTCGAATGTTTGCAAGAACGTGGAATGTGGCAGATCTGTTGTGGCAGCCAGTTGCACCACGCAGAGTTGTCGTCGTCGGCGTCGCCGTCCTTCCTCCTTCGTCGTTGGCGTCGTCGCCGTCTCCCCTCCTCCATCTTCGTTGTCGTCGCTGTCGCCGTCGTCGTTTTTTCTCCTCCCTCGTCGTCGCCTCCGTTGGCGACGTCGTCGTCGTTTTCGTCGTCGTCGTCGGCGTCGTCGTCGTCGTCGTCGTCGGTGTCGTCGTCGTCGTTGTCGTCGTCGAAAACATTGGAGACGTCGTCGGTGTCGTCGCAGTCGGTGTCGGCGGCGCCGTCGTCGTCGATGTCGCTGTCGTCGTCGGCGTCGGTGTCGTGGCCAAGTGCCATGTGGTACCTACCGTCACGGTCTTGTCTGAGATCTTGCGACCAAGTTGCGGGTGGGAGGGTGGGATGTTTGCACGAGCAGTGGAGCGGACAGCTTCAAGACGGTCAATATTCATTGCACCACGTAGATTGCACCACCTATACTACACCACGTAAGTAGCACACTTTAGATTACAATACGTAGATTGCGCCACACATATTGTACAACTTTGATTGCGCAACATACAGTTCACCACATGGATAGTACCACATAAATTGTCCGATTGCTCGAAGCACGCTGTTTGGGGTCCACGCTGGTGTTCTGGGGCTCGTTAGCGGGCCTCTGGGACCTCTGGGTTCGTTATCGGGTCTTGGGAATGAAAACCTCCCCCCCCCAGGGGAGAACGTCGGGAATCCTGGGGCCGCGGCTTGAACTCAGATTGGCCGAGTCTTAAACTGGGCACGCCAAGGACTGTCACGCAAACCAGCAGCATGTCTTAGCGTTTTTTCTTCTGGCCTCGCTGTCGGTACTGCCGCCGACGTGGTCTTTTGCCAGACGGCAAGTCGCCAGCGCAATGGCGGACGCTGTGGGTTTGGGACAACATCTGGTGTTGGGCATTGTGCATGTCGCACCGATACCAGGCTTGGGAATGTGTTCATCCAGGGGAGGTCGGGACGGGCACTGGATCCCTGATTTCGGGATTCCGTGAGCCAGTTCAACAGGTCCTCGTTTCGGAGGGCCTTCGTCGGGCTCAGGGGAGAAGAAGATACCGATACCGTTGCCCGCCCCTTGTCGCAACGGCTGTGTTCTGCCCGCTACCTCTGGTCAGAGAGTATCCTGGGAGAGGTCAGGTGTACAGGTACTTCGTTGTCCCCCCAGGGGCCCACTCAACGGATATGCTCGACTAGTTGGACTCTAGTTCGGCTCTATGCAGCTCGACTAGCTCAGCTCAAGTTCGACCCAAGTTCGATTCAAGTTCGCCTCAAGCCGACGGACGTTCACCTTCGACGCAGCAGCGACGCACGAGCCCCCAGCACAGGGCCCAGCTTTATCCCCCTTCCTCTGCCCCTCCCCCCCGCACTCCTGCCCCTCCTCTTCCTGGCGATCTTAGCTTTTGTCTGTCTCTGTGGTTCTGCTCCCCCTCGGGTCAGGGGGGGCAGAGGGAATGCAATTGGCTAATGGGGCGACACGAACTCACCAACGTCTACTCCGGCTGGCTACCGTTAGAGCAAAAGGAAGAGGAGCAAGACATGCCCACCGAGCATAGGAGGGTTATGTTTGTCTCTGCTTGCGCACGCTGGACCCCCTGTTGACACTGCATGCTCTGAGTGCGACTGCGAGGTGCGACAGGTGACGACTGGCTCGGGTTCACCACCTACCGCGCCGAAGGGGTGCCACCTCCTTTGTATTGTTTCGTCTCTCTTATGTTTATGTTCCTTATAGACTGACTGATTATTGGGATAAGGCCTTACGGCCAATGCCGCCGACCATGAAATGGGGACGGCGACGACGACGGCGGCGGCAGCGACGTCGACGTCGCTGACGCCCTGGAACCCTTGAATTGGGCTCTCTTGGGGACCTCGTGGGCCCTGTTGGAGGCCGGGGCCGGAGCCTGGGGCCTGGGCCAGGGGCCGGTGCCAGGCAGGGCCGCAAGGCCTGATCCACAGGCCTGATCCCCCTGCCGGCAGGGGCACCCCCCCCCCCCTGCTCCACAGAGGGGGCTGCCCTGCACGCACGACATGGGTACTGAAAGAATGGGTACAATGCCCAACAGCGGATCTTGTTCATTTTGAACAGGGCTCGCTGTCCACGCCGCCGCGGCCTGTGTCCATTCGAGACAGGAGGCCGCCTGCCCAACAGCGGCCGCTGTTGGTTTGGGACAACATTTGTTGTTGGGCATTGTACCCATTGTTTCGGTACCCGTTTCGGGCGTCCAAAGCCCAGGGGTGGGGTGGGGGGGGGCATCATTCTCACCAGAGAGTTGCCCCAGCCTCCCCCCCAGGATCGACCCCCCGCGGGGGGGCCCCCAGGGACCACCCTCCCCCCGCGGGGAAGGGATCAAAGGCCTTTGATTCAAGCATGGCGTTGTTGTTTCATTACGCTTTGGCTGGCGTGCTTGAGGGAGGTTAGGGGGAAAGAAGGGAACGGCGACGGCGACGGTGACGATGACGAACGTAAGAGCGTATTCCACACGCCGACAGGGTCGGCGGATTTATTGCGCTCTCTCTCTCTCTCTCTTTCCCTCTCTCTCTGTATATATGTGTGTGTTTCATCTCACTCTCCATCTCTCTCTCTCTCAGTGTCTGTCTCGGTCTCTCTCTTTCTCTCTCTTTCTCTGTCTCGCTCTTCTATGTGAGTTCATGTAGTTTTGTACATACAATTGAATGTATTGACGTATTTCCTCTATCACTGGATGTTCCCCTCCGCTACACACTCCTGCAGATGTTCTTTGTATGACTCATCAAGCGTGAATGCCATCTGGATGTGTGTTGTCGCCGTTGGCATTACCGCCATGCCAGTTGCCACATCTGGCCCAGACTGAAGGGCTCGTGGACTCTCCCCCGACTGGCCCGACAAGGCCAAAGTGCGCCGATGTGGCAGGTTCGCGTCGTGTCGACAAGTGGCGACCCCGCCGCCATGGCCGCCAGCGTTCAACGTTGAACGCCGCCGGCGACCGAGAATGAGTCGAGAGTGAACGATCGGACGTTTCGGAAACGGCCGATCGTTCAAGGTTGAACGATCCTCCGCGGTGCCAGGAGCCGATGCCAGCGTCGACACGACACGAACCCGCGGTACAGTCAGAATCGACAGTGGGGATGGGCAACTTCCCCAAGGGTACCCATGCAGCCTTGCCTCCTCGGTCCACTCTTCACCCCTACCGATGGCCAGCCCAAGGGGCTCAGTTTGCTGTCTTCTTTCTCCACCGCTTTTCTGGTGGGGATCTGGACGCATCCTCGGACCTTTCTGTGCGAAACTCGGGCCGCCTTTTTTCCCGGTCCCGCCCGACCCGTGGCAGCCTGCACAGGCTCTCTGCTGCAGGCGCGCCTGGCCCCCAAGCGTGACGCGCACCTGTGGGCGCCCAGGCGTTCGGCCCTTCTTCCCCCCCCCCCCTTCGGCCCCTTCTTCACCCTTCGGCCCCTTCCTCACCCTTCGGCCCCCCCTTCGGTCCACCCTTCGCCCCTGCCGATGGCCAGCCCAAGGGGCTCGCATCCCTGCCGCGCAGCCTCACTACTCGTTTGGAGTGGTGGAGGGGGAGACGGACAAGTAGGACGGACCCGCGGCCCGAGCCGCCACGCGCAGCGCGCGGTTGTCTCCGCGCCTCCCCGGGTGGCCCTCGGGCGGGCGAGGGCGGCCGGACGGGCGAGACTGCCAGGCCCCCCAAGACTGAGAGCGCGCCAGAGAGTGCCACGGGGCAAGGGGCGTCACGCCTCCCTCGGGAGCCTGGGATCCGAGGGGCGCCAGGGCCCCTCTGGCTCCCCGCGTGCGCCGCCGCCGCCCGCCGCTGCGTCCCGCAGTCCGCGCCGACGGAGGCCGCAGTGCCGCGCCGCGTCGTCGCGGCGAGCGCGCGCCGCTCGGCTGCGTCGTCGTCGTCGTCGTCGTAGTCGTCGTCGTCGTCGTCGTCGTCGTGGTCGTGGTCGCCATCCGTCGTCGTCGTCGTCGTCGTCGGCGTCCGTGTTCGTCGTCGTCGTCGTCGTCGTCGTCGTCGTCCGTCGTGGTCGTCGTCGTGGTCGCCATCCGTCGTAATCGCCGTCAATCGTCGCCGTGGTCGTCGTCGTCGTCGTCGTCGTCGTGGTCGTGGTCGCCATCCGTCATCGTCTGTCGTCCGTCGTCGTCGTCGTCGTCGTGCGTCGTGCGTCGCCGCGTCGGGGGCGAGTGTGCGCCGCTTGGGCCGCGGGCTCCTCTGACGAATGAACAGCTCACACCCATACCCACGAGGGGGGACGGAGGTGGCCATGAGCGCGTGCAGTCGGATGGGGGTTCCCGCTCGGACGGGAACCTCCCCCACGGGGCCGACAACCCACACCCATACCCACAGCCAGTCCTCCTCTCTCCGTTCCTTCTAAAAGGGGATGACGATTAATAAATGACCGGGGGTCGTGTTCACGCGGCGGCGCCCGGGATGACGATTAGAAAAAACTGGCCGCGGGCTGGAGAACTTATTCTTTTAAGCGTTCTCCTCCAGTCGGACAATGGAGCAGAAATCGCAGAAACCTATTTTTTTGTAATCGTTCTCTCCCCTTGTTTGTATTAATCGTCATCCCGCATTATGGGTGTGGGCGAGGACCATCGAGGAGCATCCTTGATCAGTTGGCGAAAAAAAACACGCACGAAACCGAAACAAAAGCACAGGGAATGGACGTCCGAGCGACGGCGAGTGTGTGTTGTTCCCTCGTCATCTCCTCCAGTCGGAAAACTTTGCAGAAATCGCAGAAAACTATGTTTGTGAATCGTTCCCTCCCGTTTTTTTATGAACCGTCATCCCGCATTAGGGGTATGGGTGTGCGCGTGTGTGTTGCTCGCTCGTCCTCTTCGGCGGCAGGCGCTGCGGCCCTACGCCCTGGACCTCACCGCCGGGCCCTTCGGGGTGCGCGTGCAGCTCGCGGTGGCCGAGCACGCCGCCGTGCCGCGCGCTCGGCCGGCCCGTGCTCGTCGTCGCCGCCGTCGGCCAGCGGGCGACGACGACGACGACGACGACGACGACGACGACGACGGCGACGGCGACGACGACGACGACGACGATAACGGCGACGGCGACGACGACGACGGCGACGACGACGGCGACGACGTCGGCGACGGCGACGAAAACGGCGACGGCGACGACGACGACGAGCAGGGAGAGGAGGGACTCGCTAGATGCTCCTTCTGAAGGTTAGTTCGATGCCCCCCCTCCCCTCCCACGAGAGGAAATTTGGAGGAGGAAAGCGTACCGATACCGCTGCCCTTTTGTAGTTTTTGCTTTGTTGGGCCTCCTGAGAAGCCCTCATCGCCACGGCTGGACTCGCCTCTAAAATCTGGGCAGAAGCACCCCGCGAGAGGCCTGAGGAGTAGCCAGCAGAGGGAGGTACGATGCACTCCATCGGGCCCAGAGGCAACCCCGCTGGGAGATCCACCGACAGCTCCAGCGAAGACGTTCCTGTGCGCCCCTTCGCCCTGTTTGGCATATCCCTTCCACGGATTTTGCGCTGCACAGAGAGGTCCACCAGTTTCACGTGAGGCTGCTATGGGTGGTGACCCTCGCCAGGCTATTTTTTTGGACGCCTGTGTTTTTCGGTTTGGTATCCAGAACTCCTTTGCAGAGGCGTCCGGGGACTTTCGGAGACCTCTTCTTGCCAGCATTTGCGAAACATTTTGCATGCGAATTTCGCGTTGAAGATCCACCGAGATAAATAGCCTATAGCGATGCGAGACAACAGTGTGATGAAGATCTATCCGTCATTACAGACTCGGTTGTCTCTGCAACTCCGCTCCATGTGCACCTGACGCGGTGCTGGGGGATCGAGCAGTCTTGCGGCGGCCATGGGTGCGTGGCCCAACGGTTGTTTCGGGGCACGGGGTCGCATTGTCCGTTGCGACCACGCGCTCTGCACCCCCCGAGATCCGACGTGGCGAACAAGCTGCAACATCATGCAAAAAACATGCCTGGAGCCACGGACCCCCTCGGCCTGCGTCATTTCTGGAGCCGGATCGATCTGTGAGGGCCCCGGGGCCCGAACAAAAGGGCGCAGCCGCCCCGCTCGGAAAGATGGAGGCGCCAGGGTCTCGGGGGCCCGCTGCTGGACAGCACCGCCGCGTGCCAGAGCCGAGGGCGCCGAGGCGCCACCGCGCCGCCCGCCTCGGGACGGCCTCCGGGCCGGCGGAGCGAGTCGTTCGCTCGGCTCGCTCGCTCCTTCGCCCCCGCCCCCCCTCTCTCCCGCGGCACGGCCCAGCGGCCCCTCGAGCCGCCGAGCTGCCCGGGGCCGCGCCTGGCGGTGCTGCGCTGTGCTTCGTCGTCGTCGTCGTCGACGTCGTCGTCCTCGTCCTCGTCCTCGTCCTCGTCCTCGTCTCCCTTCTTGACCCCTCTCAGGGACCGCGGCCTACAGGACGTGGTGCTTCCCGGATCCTCGAGCCTTGATCCTCGATGCCCCCCTCGCTCCCGCGAAGAGAGATTCGGAGGAGGATCAGCGACCGATATCGCTGCCCCTGTTCCCCGAACAGTGTTTTGCACTAAGGGTTTTTTGATGTCTGAGGAAGGGTCGGGTTCACGGCCATGTGGTCGCCGTCGCCGCCCCGTCGCCGCCTCTTCGCTGCCCGTCGGCATGGGCTCCATTGTCGAACCCGCCGCCTTGTTGTCGCAGTCGCTGCTGCCGCGTCGCCGCCGTCCCGCTGCACCCCCCCAGTTGCAATCGAGGATGGAGTTCGCGTGCTTTCTGCTCGGACAGTCTTTTGTGCTCGCCTGAGCCGCGCCGGCACGCCCTAGGGCGTATGGTCCGTCTTCCCTCCCCAGTTGTAATCGAATATTTGCGGTCCAATCGATTGCAAGCAATGTTGGAAAGCCCCTTTCGCGGCCCTGTTGGCGGCTGCGTGCCCGCCCGTCGCCGTCGCCCAGCGTCGCACCCGCCCCATTTTGCATGGCAGTCGCGCTGCATCGCGATCTCATGGCATTGCACTGCGTTGCAATCGCATTGCGCTGCTATCGCACTGCGTGCATTTCAATTCATTGGTATGTTTTGGCTAATCTGGCTCTGCATTGTGTTGCATTGCACTTTGTTGCTTCGCGTTGCCTGGCATTGCTTCCCATGGCTTAGCATTGCGTGGCCCCTGCGCTGCATTTCTTTGCACAGCTTTGCATTGGTATGGCTCTGCGTTGCGCCGCATTGCTTCGCATCGCGAAGCGCTGCTGTACACTGCTCCGCACTGTGTTCATCTCCTGCTTCCCCAAACAGTGCCTGCACTTAGCAGGAGGGGAAGAAACACACAGACACAATGAATCGTCGATTCCCAGGAAACTATTCGAAAACATGGGAAGTGGGGGGGGGGAGACAAAAAACCCAGAATACCTATGGGAACAGAGGGGGCATCCTTTTATTTGTGTGTATTTATTTGTGTGTCCCAGGGCCCCTTCAATCTTGTCTGCTCTGGGCGGCTGCTTTGGGCGGTTGGTCAGGGCCTCTTCCCCCCAATCTGCTGGCGCGACTGGCAAAAGAAGATCGACGAAGCACCGGCCCAGACCCGACCACCCCCCTCCTTCCCACCCTTCGGCCAAATGCCGAAACCCATAATAAGAAGAAGAAGAAGAAGAAAAAGAAAAAGAAGGCGAAGAAGAAGAAGAAGAAGAACTTGTGGATCCAACTTACGGGATCCAACTTGTTTCCCACGGCATATGTGTGCTTCGGCGTCGGCCCGGCCGGCCTGCGGCCGCCCGTCGCCGCGCCGGTCGCCCGGGCGCCCCCAGTGGAGGGTCCGGCAGGCTCGCGGCCGCCCGCTGCCGCCCGTGGCCGCCGTCCGTCTGGGGGGAGGAGGAGGAGGGAGGGGGAGGAGGAGGAGGAGGAGGAGGAGGAGGAGGAGGAGGAGGAGGAGGAGGAGGAGGGAGGAGGAGGGAGACGCAGCAGGAGGAGGAGGAGGGCGGAGGCGCAGGAGGAGGAGGAGGAGGAGGAGGCCCCAGTGGAAGGTCCGGCAGGCTCGCGGCCGCCCTGTGGCCGCCCGTCGCGGCCGTCCGTCGCCAATTGTTTGCGCCGCACTGCTCTGCATTGCGTTGCAGTGCCTTGCTTCGCACTGCTTGGCATTGGCTTGGCATCGCATCGGCTGGCGTGGCATTGCGTTGCTTTGCTTGTCGTTCGGTTGTTTCGCCTTGCTACGCATGGCTTTGCATTGATTCTGTGCCACTGTGGCATCGCTGTGCGTCGCATTGCACGGCGTTGCTCTGCATCGCTTCGCATTGTTTTGCGTTGTATTGCTTGCATTGCTTCGCATCGCTTTGCATGGCTTTTCTATGTGTTGCACGGCTTTGCATGGTGTGGCATGGCTCTGTTTTGTTTTGCAGGTCGTTGCATGGTTTCGAATGTCGTTGCATCGCATCGCATTGCATCCCAGCGTATTGCTTGTCACTGCTTCGTAATATGTTGCATTGCGGTGCATTCTTTCGTATTGAATCCATTGTGTATTGCTACGCGTTGTTTCACATTGCTTGGCATCGCCTTGCATCATGCATTGCTTTGTTTTGCTTCGCACGGATTTGCAGTTATTCGGCATATAGATTGCCCCACATGCTTTGCACCATCTAGACTGCACCACATTCGTTGCAGTGCCTGGGGTGCACCGCGTACACTGCAAGAGTCCACTGTTTGGTGTCCGCGCTGGCTAACATTTCGTTTTCGTGTTTTTGGGCCTACAGAGAAACCCTCGTCGCCACTCCACCCGTGCTTTCCCGGCCACGGGCTCACAGTGGCCCAGGGATAATGTAGATTTAGTGGGCGGGGGGCAAGGGCAGATGCCTCCAGTCCACGTCGTCGCTGTCCGCGGACGTCGTCTTGGTGCCTTCTTGCGCTGTTGCAGCCTACGGGAAGGGACGTCTGTTCAGAGTGTCGCGACACACCGCGCTTCGACGCGACACATCGATTACAGTCGGGGCCCTGAAGAAGGAACCCCTTTTCGTTGGGGAGGGGCTCCGCGTTCCTGAAGTGTTTCGCAGCTTGCCTCAGGCTTTCCTTATATTTTCGACAGGAGCTCGAAGTTGAACTTATGGAAAAAAGGGGCCTCGTTCCTTATTTGGAGTTCCTTAGGTCAACGCCCCGACTGTACGTCCCAGTCCCCAAGCACCCGAGTCCCCAGCCCTTCGCGGCCCCCCGCCCTGCGGAGCGGAGCGACCCGCTGTGCGCCCGCACTGCACGGCGCAGCGTGTCGCAGGGACCGCCGCCGCGACACGCTAAGGAACAACTCGTGACCGTACAGTCGCCATGAGGGTTAAGAACCGCCCCGGCTTCGGAGGGGTGCCCTTAAAGTCGGGCCGGTGAAGAACGAATCCTTTTCTTAGGGGAGGATTCCACCTCCCTCCCTCCTCCCTCCTCCCTCCTCCACCTCCACCTCCTCCACCTCCCTCCTCCACCTCCCTCCACCTCCCTCCCTCTCCCTCCACCTCCCTCCCCTCCCTCCCCTCCCTCCTCCTCCCTCCTCCTCCCTCCTCCTTTTCTTTGGGGATGGGCTCAGTGTTCATTCCTAATTTTACATGTTGTCTCTGGTGTTCCTTACGCTTCCCCTGGGGAATCGAAGTTCCATTTGTGCAAAAACCAGAAAAAGGGGGGCACCGTTCCTTGTGCAGGGTTCCTCGTGGCGGCGGTTCGGCTGTATGTTTTTCGTGCTCGGGCCCGTCCTCCTTGAGGTGCTCTCCGTTCTCGGCGTCGCCCCGGGGCCGCGGCGCCCTCGGCGGCGGGCCTCGGGCCCTCCGCGCGTGTCCGCGGCCACGTGTTCGCCTGCACAGGGCCCCGCCCACCCCCCCCCCCCCCCTCGACACGGCGCGCCGCCCCGCGCGTGGGCTGCGGCCGCCCCTTCTCGGGCGGCGGGCGTCTGGCTCGAGGGCCGCCCGCTCTGCGCAGCTCGCGGGGCCCCGTGGCCCAGGCATCCCCAGAGCTCCCAACGCCCTCCTCCTC